ATGGAACAGACCACCTCCGTCCGGATTTGGAATTTGTATATAATCGCACCGTCGGTGTGTGCACCCCTGCGGACACATCGCCGGATTGTGGATTGCGACGCTTCGACATTGCTCTGACCATCGACCAAACAACCGGAAAATCGGATTTCATCTCGCCGCTACCTGCCAGCCTTTCACCACTATCGCAAAGTCTGGTCCTGAATGGTGGATAGTCAGCCCCATCACCAGCAACGTCAACTACTTCGGTGGCCGTAAAAGGTGTTCCCCCATCGGCAGCGCTTCGTGGGCTTGGTGGCCGCTTCGTTTCGTCACCAACTAATCCACTGCTCTTCGCTATGCAGGTGTTATCAGCCGTCGTCGCACATCTGATTCTTGTTGCCGGTGTCTCCACCCCTGCGGACACATAACCGGATTGTGGATTGCGACGTTTCGACATAGTACTGACCATCGACCAAACAACCGGAAAATCGGATTTCATCTCACCTCTACCTGCCAGCCTGTCACCACCATCACAAAGCCGGGTCGTGAACGGTGGATGGTCAGCTCCATCGCCAGCAACGTCATCTATTTTGCTGGCTATAAAAAGTGTGCCACCATCGGCAGCGTTTCGTGGGCTTGCTGGCTGCTTTGTTTTGTCACCAACTAATCCACTTCTCTTCGCTATGCAGGTTAGTGTTCCGCAATCACTCTTCACAAAGAAGAGCAATAATTACTTCTTGCTGCTGCTGCCGAGCCCACGTTGCTGCTGCACGACTGTGGTTGAATGTTTTAGTGCCATGAGATTGTTATTGCTACTTGTATCGGGAGACATCGAGTCTAATTCGGGTCCTAATACTACTATACTCGTTGAACTGCAAAAGCTTTCCGTGGGCCAGTCGACTATCTTAGAGGAAGTGCAGTGACTGAAAAGTCAACTACTATCAACAGAACACGCCCTCTCCGACATGACAAAACGAATCACTGATATGGAAAAACATTAGCAGGCTCTGCTACCCCTAAAGACAAAGCTCGAACTAATTAAGAGTAGCAACGTTCATGCAGCACGCAAAACAGTTGACCTTGAGGCACGTTTGGATGACGCAGAGAACAGATCGCGCGGTAACAATTTAATTTTTTACGGCCTCCCAGATGCTAATCCTTCGAATTCGTACGCTGAATCTGAGGAACTATTCATTCGTCATTGTCATCACTACTTAGGCACAGATATTAACCCTAAAGAAATTCATCGCGTGCATCGCTTGGGCCGCCACTCAGTGAACAAATGCAGGCCAATAATCGCGAAGTTCACTTTCCACAAGACAAAACACGAAATCCTTTCAAGCGGACGTAAGCTGAAAGGAACGACATACAGCATTGGAGAGTATTTCTCACGTCGTGTTCGAAATGCTAGACAGCATTTGGTCGAGTTCGCAAAGCAGATGTCCTGCCCATTTTCTTTGCGCTCTAAAACACTATACATATGCCAGAAACGCTACTTGTTCAATGAAACCTCAAAAACAGTGCAAGAAATTAAATAGCAATCATGTCGAAGTCAAACTAAATCCACTGATTATCACCCTAAATCAAAAGCTAACCATTTTTTCTCAGTAATTTTTACGAACACTCGAAGTTTCATGCCTAAACGCGATCACTTGCCTCATCTTGTAGAGTCACCAGAAAGGTGTATTCTCATACTAACGGAAACGTGGCTAACAAATGACGTCACCAACGCGGTAGTGCTCGCAGATCTACCCGATTCCCATGCTTATCTAAGAGACCACACAGGCTCTCGCGGGGGCGGTGTTCTCATTGCAATCAGTAATCAGTCAACATGTTCCGATATTACCATTGACTCAGATTTAGAAATTTTGTGGGTGTTGCTTCAGGCACTTCCACAATCTGCATTATTAGGTTTTTGCTATCGGCCTCCACATAACGATCCTAACTTTTCTCGCGCACTTCAAAGCGTTTTAAACCAGCTTACACCAAAGTATGCTAAAGCTGACATTGTTCTTTTCGGTTATTTAATTTTCCCGGTATCACCTGGGAACATGACACTTCTACTTCTAACTCGGCAGAAACTAGTGATTTTTTTAGGGTTGCTCTTGATTACAACCTAAAACAGTTAGTGACGAAGCCAACGCGTGTCAAACGCGATTCCTCTAATATTTTGGATCTAATACTAACAACTACTCCTGATAGCCTGTCTTCAATTCACTATCTCCGTGAGATGAGTGACCACAAAGTTATACATGCCGACTTCAGTTTCAGTCCTGTTACTCGTCACATACACAAGAAAGTTATAACCTTATACAATAAGGGTAACTACGATGCTATAAATAATGAACTTACAAAATTTCTTCCGACATTTCAGTCTAAAATGGACCACTGCTCTATTCAGGAGAACTGACTAGTTTTCAAACAAAAGCTGATGGACCTAATAGCCAACTTCATTCCTAAAACCATTATTCGTGTTAACAGTCGTAAGCCATGGTTTAATAAGTCTTTGCACCCACTAGACAACAAGAAAAAGCGCACATTTCGTTTCGGACTGCCAAGCTAAAAGCAGGCTACCACAACTGGGATAAGTACTACGAGGCTGAAAAAAACCTACCTGACGGCTATCCGTGACGCTAAGTTCAAATTATTTTTTACAATTCGCCCAATATGGTAACTAAGGATCCCCGAAAGTTCTGGCAGATAATTAATCATAAAGCAGTTATCGGCTCCACTCTTACTAACGAATCTGAAGAGGTTCTTTCAGATACAGAATGCGCTGATGCTTTCAATAACACCTTCTCATCTGTATTTACTAACGAACCAAATGCACCCTTACCTCTATTTTCTTCTCTTATCACTCTTGCCATGCCTAAAATTACTTTTACTGCTGATGGTATCTCATCCCTCATTGTAAAGTTGAAGCTATCATCAGCATCTGGAATAGGTGGTATTAATGTCAAACTGTTGAAACATATAGGTCACATTGCGTCCGAGTATCTTGTTTTGTTATTTTCGCAATATCATTCAACAGGCATCAACCCAGACGATTGGAAATGGAGAAACGTCGTTCCTGTCTTCAAATCTGGTAACGAGAACTCTCCACTAAACTACCGACCAATCTCTTTCACGAGCGTATACCCTACGAACTCATGGAACACGTCATTTACTCTTACGTCATGAACTTTTTCCACTCCCTTAACTTCTTTCATCATTCTCAACATGGGTTGCGTAGGGCCACTCTTGCGAAACCCAGGTTGCCATCTCTGTTCATGACCTTCATGCCAACCTCGACATTAACAAACAAACCGATTCTATATTCCTTGATTTTTCGAAATCCTTTGATAAGGTACCCCACAAACGCTTAATATAAAACTGCTTCGTTAAACCTGCATCCGTGTATACCTAACTGGATCAAAGAATTCCTCACTAACCGCACGCAATCAGTGTTTAAAATTGATAGTTTTTTGGTCCCTCTTCCGGTAACATCGGGTTTACCGCACGTCCTTGGTCTTCTTTTATTTCTAATTTACAATTATGACTTTCCGATGCGTTTGCAGACGACTGTATCACTTATCTTACCGTCACTGACCCTTCTGACCTAATGTTATTACAAGAAGACCTCAACCATATCCTACAATGGTATGATGACTGGCTTATGACCTTAAACCCTACTAAATGCCAACTTATCTCATTCACTCACCGTCTAAACCCTCTTCGCTTTTCTTATAACATAGCTAACGTCCCTGTCGAATCAGTAACCGCTTACAAATACCTTGGAGTCACTTTATCTAACAATTTGCCGTGGAACACTCACATTATTAAAATCATATCAACATGTAACAGCACCCTGGGCTTCTTAAAACGTCACTTACGCAGCGCTCCATGTCGTGTAAAACTACTTGCTTATACATCATTAGTTAGATCTCAGTTAAAATATGCATCTCCTAATTGAAACCTGCCAGAAGTTGGTCTTACAAATTCCCTTGAATCCTTTCAAAATCATGCAGCTAGATTCATTCATGCTTCATACTCATACGACATCAGTATTTCATGCCTCAAAGACGCGTGTAATTTATCACCTTTATCGTGTCGCTGACGCATCGCAACCCTGTCATTATTTCACAGGTTTTTTCACTCTCTACCTAACCACCCTCTTTACATGATCCCTGCAGCTCACATATCTCATCGCACCGGTCATGCGCTTCAATTTTTTCGCCCGCGTGCCCATACTAAAACCTTTTCTGCTTCTTTTTTCTCAGAACAGCAAAAGACTGGAATGGCCTTTCCGACTATATCGCCACAATCACCTCGCAATCTAGCTTCATGCATAATATTTAAAATGGACCTTCACATTTATTATTGTGACTAAAATATCGATGGTATGTTACCCACCCCTTACGTAATACCCTCTCGGGGGTCTTTAAGGAAGTAAAAATGAATGAATGAATAAAGCAGTGTTCAAGGCTACCACTCTTGTGAGCACCAGGGCCCCATGTGAGCTTACCATTTCTTGTGTAGCTATTATCCATGTTGCTATTTGCGTGATTACACAACTTTAAAGGACTGGTTGATTAAAACATATGCGGCTGTCTAACGTATGTCTGTGCATGCGTTTGTACATATCTTGAGCACAATTCGACTCGCTCAATGAATACCACTTCTTCTCGCTCAACGTCTAGCTCAATGAACAAATTACAACAGTCACCTTCCAAACGCATGCTTCGCATAACATAATTTCCATGTTACGTGGGATCGGGAAGTTTTTATTAGATCTATTGGCATTGCTTTTCAGACACATTGTGTATTTTGCTCTATGCTCAGTTATATTCTTATCTGAAATGGTTCATGTTTTCATGGCTGACTACTTTTTCGTTTATGTGCTTTGTTTCAAGCTCTCAAATAGGACTTATTCTTAGTTTTTCTTTATGCCCAAATACCTTTTCTACAGTTTTGTAGAAGCGTATTGAGAAATGTGCCCTTCCTCAAGTTTCCGTTGTTTAATACGCATTCTTGCTTTGCAGGACCGCGCGAACAGCTGAATCAGCTGACCGCATACCTGGATGGTTCTGCTATCTATGGCTCTACAGAGGAAGAAGCCAAGGCTCTCCGAAGCATGACTGATGGTATGAGTAGACATCATAGGCTGCCATTTCGCTGCACAATACCTAGGGTAGTGGTGTGCACTGTCGCATAACTGCGGCTCCTGGTTGGTAGCATGACTTCGATTATCGTGAACAATTTTTTTCTGATCCATCTGGTACCATATAAGAATTCCGCAAGGTCATAGACTGAGCCTTACGAGGGGCTCAGAAATAAGCCGTTTACTGACAACCAACAATGTATTGCGCACAGTACAGACATCAGGATAACACACTAAATGCTTAAAAAATGTTTTGTGCATTCCTCCTCCGTGTCATCTTGAACGCTCAAATATTTTCTCTGAAGCCGCAAAACTGCAAGCTCTTGTTTCACTGCTCAAGAAACTAAAAAAGTTAAAGGCTGAGCTACCTGAATTTCACGAATAAGCTTGCAAGAAATATGGGCAACATCTTTTGCCTCCTTTAAAATGATAGTATTACTTAACCGAAGATATGTGCTAAAAAGAAGACACAAAAAGAAACTTACTAGGTGCTGGATTATTCGCTAAAGTACACTCTAAGAAAAAAGTCAAAAGATAATAATGAAATCATGACTCTCTCCAGATATTGCCCATTTTTTGAAGTTGAGGCAGAAAAGAGAGTTAAAAATTCTAGAGCAGTCTCAGCGCACTCATGAGGTGTGTTTCTATTGCCTTCCGTAATGAAGGTGCCGTATTCGCCTTACATATTGCGCGTTTGCCAAGTTTGCCAAAGTGAGCTAGAGACAGAATTTTTCGACAATGACTTGGGTGTGTCGCCTACGCAGTCATAATTGGGTTACTGAAAATTGGCAGCTGTGCTTTTGTAGGTCTATAATTTGCACCGTTATGATCAAGCTCCAGAGGTGCTTGATCATAACGTGCAAAACAAATATGTAAAGACGCGTTTACTTTCGGCCTTCAAGGGGCTCATTGCAGCAAAACTTACCGGAAATAGGATTGTTTTGTTGCGTAAACGAGTGCAAAGCTCCGCAATGAGCACCATCCGTCTATAAAAATTTCCGCCAAGGTGACAACGAATTATCTTTCGTCCATTCCGGTAACAGTACTTTGACTGTACTAGCGTATGAACTACGTCCTTTCATTTCGCCATTTCACACTAAAGGCCAAGGTTTTCCATAGTATAGGTGCACGCCGGCCTCTATTTTTCGAAGGCTTCTGAAATTTCTCATTCCTTAAAACGATTTCCATGTGGGCTTGTTGATAGTGTCAGCACTGTCCTTGTGTTTTTCTTTCGTGTGTACGTTTAAATTTCGCTGCAACCCCTGAACAAACTTCTCCGATTCCCTACAGGTTCATCTTGTTTTAATGAAATCACAGGTTGAACGCGGGAAGGATTGGATGCTGCAAAACCTACAGAAGTTCAAGCGCGTACAGTAAAAAGAATAATGAGTCACGCACCTGGTTGTGTTCATGAATACTTGGCTAACGCGTTAAACCCGATATTCAATTTTAGTGCCTGTGCACACCGCTCGTCCTTGGCGTGTCATCTAGAAAAAGAAAACTATATATATATAAAAATGTATATATATATTTTGCCTTGAACACATTTACATAAAAGAATGTATTCTGTCGAGGCCGCATTACCTACTGTGATGGGCCACTTTTAATTGTTCTCGACTCTCGACTGCTGACTGAAGGTAACGGGACTAAATCCGGGCAGCGGCACCTGCATTTGGAAGGAGGCAAAATGCTGCAGAGGACAGTATATTTAAATAAGTCCATGTGGCCGTGATTTTTTGGGCACTTCACCTCAGTTTCTCTCGGAACCATTTTGTTGTTTTGGGGCGTAAAACTTTAAATAATAATATTACCTACCACTTCCGCTGCTCTATTATTCATAGTCGAAAAAAAATTTACACGATACTTGTAAAGTGCCCTTTTCCTATTTGGCTTCGTTAAGCTGAATTTAATGCGTACGTTAAACAAATATTCACAGGGAAGGCTGCAAAGGCATTGACTATGGCCATAAATTTGTGCAGAAGATCGCAAAAAACGATCATCCATCCTGTTTTTGCAACATGTGTAACAAAGTGCAGAATAGTTTATAAGTGGTCTAGAGAACGCCTCGCATCGCAAATAACTTTCTAAAGGCGATTGATTGGTGAAACACAGCTTGCACAATGCAGTTCTTGTTTTTTTCTCGAAATTTGCTTGCGGAGATTGCTGAAGGTAGCGCCTAAATGTCGGTACTTTGGCGTTTTCAAACACAAGCTGTCTGATACAATACTGACGAGGTGAAGTAAGTGTCAAATGTGCAAATAGATGTGAAAAATTTTTATATAATAATGGCAACAAGATCGTTAGTCAGAAAATATTTACTACAAATACTTTCGCTGTTTTTGTGTTTGGCAACGTTTGAACTAGTTTCCCTCGCCTTTGGCTCCATCACCCAGTCTGACCTGGCAACAGTGCCAGTGCCCTCTCTGCCTTTAGCAATGTTACAGTGGCTAGCATAAGAAAGTGTGATGAGTGGCAAGCGGCGCCTATGGCAACGCTTTTAGACTAGGTAAGTTGCAAAACTCCCCGCGTCAGACTACTCGGCACACGGCGCCAGGACAGCTTCCGGTTTGGTGGCACCGGCGGCGCAACAAGATTCCGCTAGCAGACCAAAACACGTAGTCGTCGTGGCAAGACGCCGTAGAGGCCGTTCTGAAAGAGCTTCGCCACCAGTATATTATCGAGATTTGTTGTGCTGCCGCAAAAACTTATTACTGCGTAATATTTAGCGGTGTAAGGCAAAATAGTATATTTATGACTTTCTGAACAGTGCTTGAAATATAAAGCTTGCTTGATATAAACAATGCTTGATATATAATGCGTAACATACACGAGTCTTTTGGTTAGTTGCTAGTTGGTGTACGTTCGCAATAGATTTTTACACGCGAAAAACCCAATTACGATGTGTTGCATCGTCTCTTGTGGCTGTGTTTTTCGTGCTTAAAAATAAATTACAACTATATGGCACAATCTCGTGGCTTTTGTCTGGTTACGTTAACAGCTTTTTTTTCATGTCAGTCACATTTTTTAGCAACTTGAACAGTCGAAAAGCTACGCGTGCGGCCATTATCTTGAGCATGTCTTCCCTCTCCTTCTTCTTGAGTTCCTCTAATGAAACCTGTTAACACAGCTGCAGCCAAAGCTTCGAGCAGAGAACGCACTTTGAAAAATCGGTGAGCCCTTCGTAGTCATTACTCACGAGTTTGCCTGCTCACCCACTGGGAAAACATGAACACACTTTCAGCTTTTTTATGTCCCCCAGAAGTTCGGCCAATGGTTGATGGTATCTGCATTGCCGGGCGACTTGGCCAAGCGATGGTGACGGCTGCTAATGGTCACTGTCATGTCTTCTGCAACGACAACACATTTCTCCACAAATGGCGCTTTTTTTAGCACTAGAAACACCACAAGACGATTTGTCTTGCCATTCTCAACAACTTTCCACCAGCATGCAGCAGGCAAACAAACGTTTTCTATGTTTTGAAGCGAAATGACGCAACTAGTTGACTGCATGTCGGTGCTTATTTCACTGTCTTCGAACTCAGTGCTCGGAGATAGTCTATTCTTTTTCGCCGAAGATATTGTTGAAAATACCCCACTCCTATCGGGCAGGTTTCGCTTCTTTGTCGTGGGCCCCGCGACAATGGTAAGCGGGGAAATTTGGGAATATTCGTGAAACGCATCTTTTGACGAGCTCCAACTTTGCTCTGACAATTTGTACCTTCTTACTATATGACGTGAGTGAAAGTCTTCAGGATGTCCTTCTCATGAAAGTGCATATCACACACACGTGAGGTGCTAGGCAGTTTCTTATCCGCACGAGGAATAGCATGGTCCCATACCTCTCGCTGCTCAGGTACACGTGGGTATAAAAGAAATGTTGTGGTGTCTCTAATTTCCTGTAGCTACTCTACCGCCGGGAATGCACCATCTGAGCGTGATGAAAACACAAAACACATACAAATCAGAACAGGGCACGCTGAAGCACAAAACTGATTACGCAGAAAGAAGCCTCCACAGATATCGACTCACCGCAACATGCACAGGCGATGGAGGATACGAGAATGACACGAGCGAGCATGCAGTGAGTGAATTCGGATGCGACAGCAGCGCCACATTTGTCGCTGGCAGCGGTGACGCCGCGCAACACCGCTCACTTTTGCAACTCAGTTCTAGAAACGTTGGCCTATGGAGCGCACTGAAGCCTTCGAGGAGGAGCCGCGTGGGGGCGCGCGCAGTCGTTTATACGACATCTGTTCGTTCGGGCTGTCACGGTGAATGGAAGTGCTTTATGAGCGTTCCGGATCGACTTCGCAGATAAGTGTTTTTGCATGTTTTGAGCTTCTCTTTATATTTATAAGGCAGCGGTTGAAATCTTCGTAGCACTTATTTTATGGTACGGCTTTTTCGGGGGCCAGTCACCAGGTATTTATTAGTTAGTGCGGGTGTGTGTGTTTGAAGTTTTGTGGTTTTTTTTTCTTTTGCCACCCCGTGGGGGAAGTGCACGTACATTGAACACGCAAATTTTTGTAATAGAGCTTACACTTCCTTTTTTTTTTGTAGTGCAGGGCTCGAGTTTAGTAATTATTAGGTATAGAGACAATTGGTGTCAGAAAGACATGGTTAAAAAGACTGTAAAGTATTCAGGATGTGGAGTGGGTTTGAAAGTGAACCCAAGCGTAGAAGCGGATGGGAAAGAGGCTGACGTGAAGTGTAGGCAATGTGAGGTCGAAGAAAAAATGGAGAAAATTATGGTTGCCCAGAGTGAACTGCTGATGAGAATCGCCGAGCTCGAGACTGCGTTGGCGACAGAGCAAGACAAAACAAGGGCAATGGGCGAAAGACTGAAGTCCGCCGAGAAGGCACTAGCGAAGCTGAACAAAGAAGCGGCCTACGGAGAGAACAGTAGGGAACCAGCAACCAGAACGGTGGAGAAGGAAGAGCAAGCAAGTTTGGAAATAACAGGTTCAGCCGGTTCAATTGTCG